GGAGCCTCCTGTGGGGACAGGGCCTCCTGTGGGGACATGGCCTCCTGTGGGATGGAGCTTCCTGTGGGATGGAGCTTCCCTGTGGGGCGGAGCCTCCTATGGGGTGGAGCTTCCCTGTGGGGCGGAGCCTCCTATGGGGCGGAGCTTCCCTGTGGGGCGGAGCCTTCTATGGGGCGGAGCTTCCCTGTGGGGCAGAGCCTCCTATGGGGCGGAGCTTCCCTGTGGGGTGGAGCTTCCCTGTGGGGCGGAGCCTCCTATGGGGCGGAGCCTCCTATGGGGTGGAGCCTCCTGTGGGGCGGAGCCTCCTATGGGGCGGAGCTTCCCTGTGGGGTGGAGCTTCCCTGTGGGGCGGAGCCTCCTATGGGGTGGTGCGTCCCTGTGGGGCGGAGCCTCCTATGGGGTGGAGCTTCCCTGTGGGGTGGAGCCTCCTGTGGGGTGGAGCTTCCCTGTGGGGCGGAGCTTCCCTGTGGGGCGGAGCCCTCATGCGGGCGGGGCCCTCCTGCGGGTGACCGCGCTGTGAGGTAGGCCCTGTGTGTGCCCAGGACGGGGCAGAGGTGTGAGGCCTCCCTGTGTGCGGGGGCTGCAGCAGGGTCTGCTTTCCCCTGTGACGGGTGCTCTAGGCCATCGTCCCTGTTGGAGCAGGAACCCCGTTCCCAGCAACTCCAGCCCCCGGGGTGTGTGGCTGGCAAGTACGCCTGAGGGACCCCGTGCACACAGGCTGAGCCCCACAGGGGACACGGACACGCCAGCACGAGCAGTTCTTGGACACCCTCTTTGCGGCTGGGGGGGCAGTTCCCAGCCTGTGATCACGAGTCAACCGGGAGCCAAGGCGCCGCTCCTCAGGGCGCTGTCCCTCGGGGCAGAGCTGACCGGCCCGTCTGTCTGTGCGGAGATGACCCCCAGGTGCCACAGCCACACGGGCCGCAGGGCACCGTGCCGGGTCTGCAGAGGGTGACAAAGCACACTGGCGGTCCTGGCCGTGCCCGTGAGGGGCAGGTGAGAGGTAGATATCCCAGGCCAGTCTTCTGCCTCTGGACCTGGGAAGCGTGTGTGTGTGTGGCCAGGCCGAGGGCTGCTGCTGCGGTAACACACATCTCCCTCCAGGACTGGTCTCTGTGTGCTGTCTGCCCTCCACCTGGACTGTGGGTCAGTCCCTACATGGAGGAACAGGTGGCCCAGAAGAATCTCCTGGAACTGAGTGCTCCAGCCGGCCCCTGCCGCTCACTGGAGAAGAGTGAGTGCCTCCCCGTCTCCCCTCCGGCCTGGACCGCAGGGCACAGCACCTGGAACTTGGGCTCCTCCAGAGGAGCTGGCCGGGCCCTGGCAGACTTAATCTGCCAATGTCTCCACTTGATCATGGTCACTCTTGGAGCTCAGAGGCTAGGGTCACCTGCCAGATTGCTGTTCCCCTTCACAGTGGAGCCCCCATGGGGGTCGGAATGGCTCACTCCCTCCCCCGGGATGCAGTCAAGGAGAATGGTGTCCACTGCGTGCACGTGCATACGCACTCAGGATACCATTACCAGGTTTTCCAAATCCCTCTCCTCCCCAGAGAGAATGCCGGGGCGGGGGCGGCGGGGGGGCTTGTGAGGGCCATGACCACGCTCCTCTGCATTTGGGATGATCTCGCTGCCTGGGGCAGGAGTGGGTCCTCCACCCGTGAGCCCCCAACTCCACGCGCTGCACCTGGAGATGAAGCCTGGTGGAATAAATTAGGGAAAGATGGGGCCAGGAGGGGGACTGGTGTCACAGGATTGGGGTCTTAGACCCCTTTCTTCTTCACTGTGTGGCTGACTACGGAACCTGGCGGGGGCGCACCTCCAGCCTCCAGGTCACAGAAGGCGGGCCTGTTGTCCCCTCTAGTCCACGCCGCACCCCAGGGCCACCGCACTCACAGGCCCAGGCTGGGTGCTGAGACCCGAGGACCTGCTCTGCAGCCCCCCTCCCAGGGCCGTGTGGGCGGGAGTGTGCACACAGGGCTGTCTGAATGTACAAGTGTGTGTGTGAGAGAGAGAGAGCAGTGTAGCTGAGTCGCCCAGACCTCACCCTACGGCCTGTCATAGCTGAGCCAGGACAGGACCTCGAACCTCCCAGCAATGGGACAGGGCGTGCAGTAAGGCTGCCAGGGTCCAGAAACCTTGCAGGAGTCAAGAGCAGGCCTGGCAGTGCCCCAGCCCCAGCGGGGGAGGGCTTCAGCTGTCTGCCAGGTGAGAGGGCAGCGGCGGGGTCAGGCAGGGGAGAATGGAGGGAGGTGCGCCGTGTGTGCCGTGTCCACTGCCTGCGGGAACCGGGCTGGCCTCTGTCCAAGGGCGGGGCGGGGGCTCGTGAGGCCCATGACCACGCCAGGCAGCAGTGCGGACTAGGGCACAAAGGCAGCCTTGCTGTCCTCCATGGCACAGTCTCTTGGCCGGCCAGCACCTGCCTGGCAGCCGGAGGCTGAGTGTGGAGCCTCTACAGTGCCCGGCCAGCCAAGACCAGGAGGCCATGGGCGCGGGAGGAGGGGCCGCAGGAAAGCTGGCGGTCACATGTGTGGCAGGTGGGAGGGAGGGAGCAGATGCTGGGTGCTGGGACCCCCCCTCCCCCACCGGGCCCAGGCTCAGCTCAGCCAGTGTGGCTCCCAGGGGACTTGGGACCCTCCTACTCAGAGCATCCTCCTGGCCGATGAAGGAGAGGAGGTGGGCATCTGAGACCTGGCGGCTCATGTACCTTGTGCTTCTGGCTTCCATTGATCCACCTCCCCCTACCTCCCCCCAGCTTCGGTCTGTCCCAGTGGTTGGATTGTCATCCACACCCCACTCATCCTCAGACTTTCCCTGGATGCTTTCCGGGCCTTTCTATCAGGATGGGACAGAGAAACCGGGCCAGAGAGCAAGCGGAGCTGCGATAACGGGCAGGTGGTGCTGGGGGTGTGCCCCACCAAGAGGGGGCCTCAGACCCAGGGGCAGATGAGTTTTATTCTACCTTCCCTGTCCCCAAGTCCAGGCTGCCCAGGCCTGGCTGTGGCGAGAACCCTGTCCCTTTGGGTGGAACCCACCAGATTCACATTTCCCGGGGTGGGTGTGGACGCTGAGGGCTGGGGCAGGTGGGTGAAGGGCAGGATCCCTGTCCAATCCCACAGCCCAAATGCAGGCAAGTGGGCGGGTCTTCCAGCAGCCTAGAGAATATAAAGTGATGGAGGAGTGACCAGGGTTGGGGCTGGCAAGGGTCCACTGGAGTAAAAAAGTCTTGCACACTCGCATGCACGCCACACGCGCACACACATGCACACGCACGCACACACACACGCACGCACACAGTGGGTAAAAACACCCGGGCAGCCTCACACCATGCTCTGCCGGTCACCAGCCCCCTCCAAGTCAGACGTCCCAGAGCTTCCTCCCCGGCCAAAGTCAATGAAAATCCCTTCGGAATCCGAGTCTACCGACTCTAGGATCCTGTCCACCAGAGTCTCGGGGCTGGAGGTGGGTGGGGAGCCGTGGGCCAGGGCCAGCTCGGGCGGCTGGGCGGGGGGGTAGAGTCTGCTGGGGCAGGGCCCCTTGTGGGGCGTCGGGGAGGACCGGAAGGGCCCCGTGGGGCCCAGGCTGGGAGCGTCGCCGAAGCCCTGGGGCTCGGGGCAGGACGTCATCTCGGAGACGGAGTGCCTGCGGATGCTGCCGCTGCTGCCGCCCGCCGCCGCCACGCCCTCCACCTCGTGCTCAGCCACGGGGTTCAGCAGCGGGGTGTTGTAGCTCTTGGAGCGCACGACCGGGTTCTTGGCCAGCGCATCCCCGGAGCGGGAGCGGCGCACCAGGCGCTTCTCTGCAGGGAGAGCTGTGGTCATGCAGGAGCCACGCGGCCTGCCACTGGCTCCCGGGATGGGCAGCTGCTGGGCTCCAGGCTGCGCTGTGCATTACACAACGCCCATGCGCCTCCATCGCTCCCCCGCTGAGCTCTAAGCTCAGGACCAGGCCGCTGCAGGAGGCCCGCTGCCCGCTGCCCCCCGCCTGGGGAGTAGCTGGCCGCAGCCGGCAGGGGGCAGAAGCCCCCACCTCCCATCACGTTTCAGGCTCCCACTGGGGACCTTGCAGCTCCCAGCGGTGACCACTAGGTGGCAGGGCCGGGTCCCAGGGAGGTGGCCCCCCCCCCACGCGGGACCACCCCTACCCAGAACGCAGGCGTGGGCGAAGGCGTCCCCGCTGGAGTAGAGGCCGTAGGTGCCCAGGTAGGGTGACACCACCTTCTGAATGAGCGTCTCCAGCCGCAGGTAGTCCTCGGTCACGCCCCGGGACTCATGCACCCCCTGCAAGGCAGGCCGGGGAGGGGTCACAGCCTTGTCCAGCCAGGCCGTCCGGTCCCTTCCCCCCACACCCACAGTGACCTCCCGGCCCTCTGCCAGCCCTCCCGGGTCAGGATGCTCCAACGGGGTCCCGTGGCCAGAGAAGGGGGGGCCTCCACCCTGGAGTGTGGCGCCCCGGGCTCTCCGGTAGTCCCTGGGGAGATGCCCCCTGATCTCACCCAGGGGGGCCTGCACCCCAGAGAGGTGCAGACAGGGGGGCTGGGCGGGCCAGCCATCGGCCCCCACTCCGGCTCTCCTTCCCACAGGCTGCCTTCTGGGCTGGGGGCCGCCCCACACCTCCCTCCAGGAGGTGTAAACTCCTGGTCTATTTGAGCCCGGGCCTGAGGGTGAGGCTGCCAGGGTCGCCTCCGTTTGCTGTCCTGGCAGAGGGCTGATCTGCTTTGTGCGCTGCTCCTGGCAGGGCTTGGAGTTAAGCCTCAGCATGTGTTTTTTTTTTTTTTTTTTTTTCTGTTGTTGTCTGTCGTGGGGCTTGAACTCTGGGCCTGGGCGCTGTCCCTGAGCTCTTCAGCTCAAGGTGAGTGCTCTACCACTTGAGCCACAGCGCCACTTCCAGTTTCTGGTGGTTCACTGGAGATAAAAGTCTCACGGACTTTCCTGTCTGGCTGGCTCTGAACTGTGATCCTCAGATCTCAGCCTCCTGAGTAGTTAGGATGACAGGCGTGAGCCACCGGTGCCTGGCCAGCATGTTTTTCTGAGCATCTGTGTGGGGTGCAGGTGTGGGCTCGGCTAACTCGCCTCCAGGGCCGGGCAGTGGCCAGGCCTCTCAGGAAAGGAGACCCACCCCCAAGCAGGCACAGGAAGGGCCAGGGCAGGGAGGCTGCCTGACTCCCCAGGGATGAGCGGCCGTGCCACTCAGGAGATGCTGCTGAGCCCGGCCTGGGCGCAGGGCTGTGGGGCTCCACGCGGCCCTCCAGGAGTCCCATGCAGGCCCCCTGGTGGGTGGGCCGGGCCCTGACAAGCCTGCTGCCTCCGGCCCCACTGTCTTAGGAGACTGCAGGAACGGCGTGGCTTCCATCCGAACTGCCCAGCTCCCGGTCCGGTCTGCCCTGTCCTGTCTGTCCTTTGCGGTCCCCTAACCCTGGCCCCGGGCCTGGCTGCGGGGCCTGGGCCTCGTCCCACCTGCGCACCTGCAGCACGAGCAGCATCTGCACGATGGCGGGCGGCACGCGGGCGCGGGCGCGGGCCAAGGCGTCCTCCAGCCGCACGCTGAGGGCGATGGCGTCCCGGAAGTGCAGCAGGGCCAGCTGACGCACCGAAGGCTCCTTGCCCTGCGGACACAGGAGCCAGTGTGGCTGCATCGCCTCCTGCCCTCAGTCCTGCTCACAAGGTCCCCAGATCTCCCCAGACGCCCTGTCCCAAGCAGAGCCCCCATTTCCTGTGCAGGGAAAGGCCTCCTGCCCCTTGGGGGGGCTTTCCCGGGTCTCACAGGTGGGGGCCAGGCTCAGGGGGCCTTGGGCAGGGCGTCCTCACAGCTCTCGGCCCTGGGCCGCAGCCCCCTCCCCGGCACGCACCTGCACAGGGTAGAAGATGGCCTGCAGAGTGGGCAGCACCTCGCTGAAGAAGAAGTCCCAGGTCTCTGCCAGTGAGTCCAGCAGCTTCTGTCCTGTGGGCACAAAGTGGCCATGGCCCACCCGGGACAGACACCCGCAGAGCTCACCCCGGGACGGGACAGACACCCGCAGAGCTCACCCTGGGACGGGACAGACACCCGCAGAGCTCACCCCGGGACAGACACCCGCAGAGCTCACCCCGGGACGGGACAGACACCCGCAGAGCTCACCCCGGGACGGGACAGACACCCGCAGAGCTCACCCCGGGACGGGACAGGACAGACACCCGCAGAGCTCACCCCGGGACGGGACAGACACCCGCAGAGCTCACCCCGGGACGGGACAGACACCCGCAGAGCTCACCCCGGACGGGAGTCGGGCGCGCTGCCTCCAGCACGGGCGGCTCTGCGCCAAGCTCCCCACTGCCCGGGGGTGGGGGGGACAGGCCCTGGCTGGCTGAGGAGACCAGCAGTGCAGGGTATCTTTTGGTGCCGGTCCTGAGGCTTGAACTCAGGGCCTCGAGGTCTCAGTGACCCCGTTCTCTAAGGCTAGCACTCTACCACTTCTGGCTTTTTTGCGAGTTAACTGGGGCTGTCTTGTGGACTTTCCTGTCTAGGCTGGCTTTGAACCTCAATCCTTAGGTCTCAGCCTGCTAAGAGGTTGGGGTGACAGCCAGCCGCCAGGTCCTGTTCCACGCAAGAGCTCAGCTGGGGGGGTCAGACCCTCCCAGCCTCCTTGCCCAGCACACACACCTTGTATGTCTGTCCAATGCTTGCAGAGGAACTACTTTATGCCAGCCCGACGCTGGGCACAGGAGAACAGAGGAGGGGGAGTTCGGAGGCCGGGACCACCCCTCCACACTCCCTGCGGGAGGCTGGGAGCCCTCCCCACAGCCGCGCCCGAGCCCGGCTGTGCATGGGGTCAGCAGAAGGGCTTCCCGGAGGAGGGGGTGGCTGGGCTGGGGGTGGCAGCGCGGGGCCCATGGCCCCGTGGAAAGTGGCACGGGACGAGCCGTGGGCCTGGCGCGTGAGGGCCTGGTGCGTGTCCCGGCCTCTGCTGCTGTGGCCTGGGTCTGAAGGAGAAGAGGCCGCGGCTGGCCAGCCTGACAGCACGCGCCGCCTCCAGGTTCCCATGGAAACCGCGAGGCCCTGGCTCAGCCTTCCCCAGGAGGGACCGGACTGGGAGGTCGTCCGTGTGGGCGTCCGGCAGGACCGGCTCTGGTCCTCCCGGGTGGCCCATGGCCGGCTCTGGGCCTGGGAGGTCATCAGCCGGGGAGGTCGTCCGTGTGGGCGTCTGGCAGGGCTGGCTCTAGCCTCCCGGGCGGCCCACGCCCAGCTCTGGGCCTGGGAGGTCATCAGCCTGGGAGGTCGTCCGTGTGGCTGTCCGGCAGGGCTGGCTCCAGCCTCCCGGGCGGCCCACGCCCGGCTCTGGGCTGCACACACAGCCCCTTCAGCTCCTGGGCGCCGTCCAGGCGGGGCTCTGCGGGTGCAGGCCTCTCCAGCCCTCAGGGCAGAGGGGCTGTGGGGGCAGACGTGGTCACACAGAGCCAGGCCCCAGCCAGGGCCACGTGCCCAGAGGCCAGAAGAGCAGCCAAGCCGGCCGGGCTCTGCTCCGGGGGACCTGCGGTTCTCCTGGCTGGCGGGCCGGGCAGCGGGCACGCGCCCTGCGGGCCTCGGGCTCCGGCTGGGCAAGGAGGCCTGTGGCAGACGGCAGCACCATGCTGGCCCTTCCTGGGGCACAGCGGTCCAGCCCCAGGGCAGCCCCCAGGACACCGGCAAAGGCCGCGCGGGGAGGTGGCAGGGCCCGGGGTGTGCAGCAGGGGGACGGGGTGGGGGTTGTGGTCACGTGGCCCACACCAGGTTCAGGCTCCTGGGTCCAGCCAAGGCAGAGCAGGGCCTGAGTGCAGACCACGCCGCCCTGTGGGCTGGGCTGCTGCCATGAGCCTCGCCAGGGAGCGCGGGCGTCCTGCACCTGAGCGGCTTTGACCAGCAGCCAGCGCCAATGCAGGCATGGGCCCAGGCGGCCTCCACCTTGCTGCCCTGTCCCCTGGCGACCCCAGGACCGGGCAGGGTGGCCACTGCTGCAAGCGCAGCCCCTGCTGTCCCCCGCCCGCCCGTCCTGCCAGCCTGCCGCCGTCCCCTGGGGCTGAGCCTGCCCTCCCCCTTCCTGGGCCCCAAGCCCCCTGCCCCGAGGCGAGCACCTGCGTGGAGTCTGCCCAACCTCCAGAGCCAGGACGGCTGCAGCCAGCTGGGAAGGCCAGGGCTGTCCAGGGCGGGCCCGGTGCCGTCTTCTGGGCAGGCTGACCCCTCACCCAGCCAAGGGCACGGTGCTGTGGGCAGGCCTTCGCCTGGCCACACAAAGTCACTGTTCTCCGGCCCGGCTCCCTGGGCCCCACAGGAATGTGCCAGCCCAGCGTGAGGAGGCTCCCCAGGTGCGGGGTCCACCGCCGGCTCTGGGGTCACCTCCCCCAGATCCGGGCCCCTGCCCGCTGCCCGGCCCCCTCGTGCCCCTCACGCTCCCGCCAGGGCCGGCCCCATCTGACGGGCCTCAGCCTGCCCATCTGTGGAATGGGCGGGGAGGCCTGGAGGAGGGTCGGCAGTGCCGGGGAGCAGAGCACCCACCATTCCTCGCCAACCTCACGGAGCTGGGCCAGGCGAGCAGGGAGAGAAGGCACAAGGGCACACCCAGTGTCCAGAGACCAAGGTCACTCAGCCCACGCCCAGGGCCGGCCCACGGGGCGTCTGCACCAAGGAGGACAGGTGTCCAGATTCACACGAAGACCAGGGGCCAGAGCCTCTGGGCTCGCCCTCCACCATGTCCCTCATGAGGAGCGGCCAGCACTAGGGTTCTGCGGGCGCAGGGACCTGGCAGGCCAAGGCCGTCTGCCCACCTGTGGGGCCTCGGGGCCTGGGGCAGGCCAGGCTGTGAGCCCCGGATCAGACGCGGTTTGCGCCCTGCTGCTGCCCCAGGAGACAGGGACTCCCAGGCCTGGCGTACAGATAATCCTGTCCTGGGACCCTTCCCAGCTTCCCAGGCTTGCTGGACCACGCAGGCCTCACCTTAGGCCCAGAGCCATGGCCAGGGCCAAGACCACGCACAAAACCTCTCAAACTGTGGCCAGAAGGAATCGGTTTTTGGTGTCCCAGCACTGGGCCTGCACTCCGGACCTGGCACTGCTCTTTCCCTTTTCGTTCAAGGCTGGCGCTCTACCCCTTTAGCCACTGCTCACTTTCAGTTTTTGGTGGTTAATTGAAAAGAGTTTCACAGACTTTTCTTCTCTGGCTGCCTTTGAACCACAATCTTTAGATCTCAGCTTCCTGAGTAGCCACTGTCACCTGGCAAAGTTGTTTTTATCAGATATGTTGGTGATCAAAAGCTAACACAGGGCTGGGAAGGTGGCTCAGTGGTAGAGTGCTTACCTAGCACTCAGGAAGCTCTGGGTTTGATTCCTCAGTACCACATACACAGAAAAAGCTGGAAACGGCACTGTGGCTCAAGTGGTAGAGTGCTACCCTTGCGCAAAAGCAGCTCAGGGACAGCGCCAGGATCTAAGTTCAAACCCCAGGACCAGCAAAAAAGAAAAAAGTAAAAGCTAACACATGGCCACGGTGGTGAGGTGAGGCAGAGCACCGCTAGGCTCCGGGCCCGTCACTGTCCCCCACCCCCAAGCAGAGAGAGAGGCCAGGCTCGGCCCCACGCGGCCCCAGCCCACTCACCCTCGTAGAAGCGGATCTTGTCTCGCAGGATCACCATGCCTTTCGTCAGCAGCTGGTTCTGGAAAGATCAAGAGGTGTCACCCCTGTCCTGAAGACACCCCAATGTCACCTGGTCCACAAGAACTCAAGAGCCCACCAACAATGCTGAGTGTCCGGGCTCACGCCTGTCATCCCAGCTACTCGGGAGGCTGAGATCTGAGGATCCTGGTTTGATGCCAGCCCCGGCAGAAACGTCTGTGAGACTCTTCTCCATTAACCAGGAGCAGCTGAAAGTGGAACTGTGTAAAGGCTGGGGAACAGTGCCCAAGGCCCTGAGTTCAAGCCCCAGCTCCAGCACAAAGACACAAGTCCACCAGCAAGCAGCTGAGGTCCAGAGGAGCCAGCGAGCCACGCTGGAGAGGCCGCGGACACGCCGGGCCCGGCTCAGCCCACAGCCCAGCACCCGGCCCCGCTCACGTCCCGTCACGAGGCAGAGGGGGCCGCCGAGTCCTTCGAGGGCCGGGCCAAGTGCCGGGCTGGGCAGGGCAGGGAGGGCCACGCACACCGCGGCCCAGAAAGGACCCGAGGCCAGAGGCGCCGTCCCGTCAGTGCCAGCACACGGGACCGTGGACAGATGAGACCACACGAGCTCCGTGTCCTCCCATGGAGGGGGGGCAAGCGTGGCACGAGGCCCCAGTGACGGGAGACGTGCAGGCAGGCAGGCAGGCAGGCAGGC